TAATGTTTAAGAGCTTTAATTAAAGACTTTCTGAAATTTTTGGGTGTCTAGTCTTAAAAGAGGGACCATAAACTGATAGAAAGGGCTCTGTAGGGGGTAGTCGGGTGTTTTATTTTTCTCTGTCTCTCTCTCTCTTTTTTTTTTTTGGAACCAGGGATTGAACTCAGGCCCTTGGGCTTGCCAGGGAAGCACTTATTCCACTGAGCCATCTTCCCAGCCCCCAGGTGTTTTCTTATCGATGTTTTCAATCGACTGTGATCTGCCTTAATTTTTACATTGGAAAAATCTCTAATAATGGTGACTAGTTGTATTCTCTTTGATAAACTTTCAAGAAGTTCTGTATATCCTTTTAAGAACATAAGCTTTCAAAAAAAAAAATTGTCATCAGCAATACAGCTCAGTGGCACAGCATCTGCCTGGCAAGTTCCAGGTCACGAGTTTGATTCTGAATAAATAAATAAATTGGGCCGGGGAGATGGCTCAATAGAATAAGTGCTTCCCTGGCAAGTACTAGGGCCTGAGTTCAATCCCTGGTTCTAACTCCCCCCCCCAAAAAAAAAAGTCCAACCTTCAGTGTATACTCTTGCCTGTTTTCAGTAAGGTCCTTAAGGTTTCTTTCCATTTCAGGTGTATAATGTATTTACACTTAAATCTTGACCGGCCTTGGGGAAGGGCAGAAAGCTGTTTCTGTGGCATAGTAAAGGCAAGCAAAAGCCTACTTGCTTTTCATATAGTTTTTAAAGCCATCCTCTTTCTGCCCTACTTTCATCTCCAGAGTTGCCCTGTCTTACCAAGTCAACAGGAACCTCTGAGATTCTTTTTTTCTTTTTAAATGAATTTAGGACAGCATGTATAGGGTGTACAGGGTTTTACTACGTAGATCGGATTTGTAGCGATCGTCCTGTTTTCAGCCTCCCAAGCCCTGGGATTACAGGCATGCACCACCAGCCCAGTCTCAGTCGCCTTCTCAGCGTGCCCCAGGGGTGGGGCCAGAACAGCACATTGGGGGACCAAAGCAAGCGTTTTAGTCTGCTGAGCTATCTGGCCAGCCCTAGGATTTCTTATGAGGTAAATCAAGGTTTATTTTACTAGGTCCCATTGCTACCTTGAGAGTTCATCTTTTTTTCTTTTTGGTATTTTAGGGAAGGCTCTAACAGGGTCATACTACTAGATCAGACTCCTAGTGATCCGCCTGTTTAGTCTCCCAAGAGCTCAGTTTCTGGGGCAGGGCTGGCTGGACAAAGCCTGTTTGCAGGCACTTTAATCTGCTGAGCTATCTGGCCAGCCTTGGGGTTCATCTTTTAAATTACCTTTCATCTAAAGCTTTTTATTTTCCAAAATGTTTTATATGATCTTAAGAGGTTAAAGAAAATTTTACTATTATTTTAGATAAGCTTCAGGGACTGGGGATTGGGCTCAGCAGTAGAACGCTTGCCTAGCAAGCTGGAAGCCTTGGGTTCAGTCCTCGGCACCAAAAACAAAAAATAAAAAAGAAACCTCCCCTAGATTAGCTTCAGAGGGACAAGAAGCTATTCATTCTCATATGTTCATTTTGTTCAACTGGTATATGAACCTGTATACTATGTTTTCAAGTTAAAAAGATTGGCTCCATCTAGCCATTAGGAACTGTGCAAGTCTTGCACACAGAAGAAATCGTGGAGGAAATGTGATAAAGGAGTTACATACAAGGTTTGCTGTTTTATCACTTTTTCAACAGATGTCATGGTTTAAGACTTAACATACAAACATTTAGAGAGTTTTGTTCAAACACTTCCCAGCTTTAAAGTAGATGTGTGGGGCCGGGAAAATGGCTCAGTAGAATAAATGGTTCCCTGGCAAGCGCAAGGGCCTGAGTTCAATCCTCAGATCCGCGGGGGGAGGGGGGGAGAATGAGGACCAGAGGGCTGGTGAGATAGCCCAGAGGACCCCACCCCAGGGCCTGCTGAGCCAGTGAAAGGGCCCGGGCGTGGTGGCACACCTGTAATCCCAGGGGGTGCTGAAAACAGGAGGATCACTATGAGTCTGAGCTGTCCTGTGAGACCCTGTACTAAATACACAAAATGAGAAAAAAAAAAAAAAAAAATGAGGGCCGGGTGTGTTGGTGCAGGCCTGTAATTCCAGCACTTGGAAGGCTGAGGCAGGACGATTGCTGCTAGTTCCAGGCCAACCTGAGCTACAAAGTGAGCTCAAGGGCAGCCTGAAGTGCAATTGCAATAGCAAGACCCTATCTGAAAAAGCCAACAACAAAAAGTGAGGAAGCTGACAGTGCTAGCTGGGCAGAGAGCCTTCCTTCAAAAAAGCTAGGTAGAACTAAAGTACTGTTTTGCAGCCTTCACTGAGAAGGCAAAATCGGTGACCCTGACGTTTCCTCAAACTGCCAAAACAACCCACAAACTTTCTTTTTCCTTACCCCTTACTCCATTTATGATCATTCTGGACACGTTTTTCTTTCGCTCCCGCCACTGAATCCCTCGTTCTTCACAGATCAGTTCCCAACAGCCGGCAGCCCTGCTACACTGGCATCCACTCTCGGGTCTCCGCGCGCCCTGCGGCACCCCTGCGCCCCGTCCTCCGCGCAGCCGGCGCCCGCCGCGGTCCCGGTCCGTGGCTCACCGGGCGTCCAGTTTTCACTGGGCCGATTCGCGCAGATGCAGCCGGAGGTGTTTAAGTCTCTGCAGCCAGGCTCTGCCTCTGGCCCCCCACAACCTGGGTCTGGCCGCTCACGCCCGGGCGGGGGAAGCAGGGGAAAACCCGCCAGCTCTTGGGTCACACCTGGCTTTCCAAAGCAGCAGGATGCGGGAGCGCGCACCGCTCTGCTTTACGGCAAGGACGCGCGCGTTTGCGATAGCGTGACGCAAGCAAGTTTTGGCGGGAAAATCGCTGCATTTGGACTCCCGTGGCGGCGGGCGAGGGACACGCTGGTGAGGAGAGGCGCCCAGTGGGGTGGGAAAGGAGTGCGGAGAAGGAGTTAAGGGGTCCAGATTAGTGAGGAGGAGCACGGAGAGGCGGACGGACGGGGAGGCTCGAGTGGAGAGATGGTCTCGGAGGGTGCAGGGGTGTGGACCCACGACCGTAATGGGCGCGGGGGCCTGGGAGTGCCGGTGCGGCCGGCTCCGCCGGGACTGGGACGCCGGCTGCGGGTCCCGGCTCTTCTTCCGCCTCTCGGGCAGCTTGGCCCCGCCCCGCGCCCCTCCCGGCCTTGGGGACGGGTGCGGTCGGGGTGGGAACTGGGTCCGCAGGGGTAGGTAGGAGGGGCTGCGGGAGCCCCATCTCGCTGGCCGCCTCCATTAGCTCGAGGCTTCCTCCTCCCCCTGCCTCGGCCTCTGTCCTAGCGCGGCAAAACCTCTGGGTTAGATTCCGGCCCTCTAGTGTGAAAAGCATGGCTCTGGGATTTACAGGGCCAAACGCCTAGACGTGGAGCCCTAGCTCGTGGCTTAAAACCTGATGAATATGAGTGATGTGGAAAGCAAGGGCGGTTGCGGGGAATCGTGGCGGGAGGCGGGCGCGGGGCCCGCGGGAGCTGGGGGCCTGCGCTCATCACCCCGCGTGTGTCTGGCTTCCTGCCTTCCACAGCCCGGGGCTTGGCGGAGTCATGGCAGTGCCCTTCGTGGAAGACTGGGACCTGGTGCAAACCCTGGGGGAAGGCGCCTATGGAGAGTGAGTGTGCGCCCTGATTTCATCCCGCCTTCACGTTCGCTTCTGTTCCGTCTGTGGTGCTGTCAGAGAGCATATTTGGGGTTTTCGAATGGTGCTAACACAGGGGTGCCCTAGAGAGCAGATCTTTGCGTCTGGAAACAGACTTTTAGCAAGTGAAAATAGAGCAGTCGTTTGTAAGTTAGTATGTTTCCCTCGCTTCCCACCTTCTCCCCACCCCCTTCCTCTTTTTCTGTTCCTGTTTTCTCCAACAACCAAATAGCCTTGAGGTTTAAGCACAGTGATTAAATGAATGGCTTCTGGCAGTTAGCCAGCTTCCAAATCGCTCTCTAATATCACACGCTGATCTTGTTTCATGATCTTAGGCAAATGTTCTCCTGCTGTGTGCCTCTCCTCAGACAAGTGTTAAGATTACCAACCCTGAGGATAGAACAGTCACCACAGACATACCTTGTGTGAAATTAATATGTTATTAAAATTATATGCTTAGAACATCTGTATATGTGATGAGATCTAGAATTGCTGCTACCTCATTTATTTTATCAAGCACTTATTAAATGATTTGTGTGTGCTGCGTAATGAATTGTTTGGAATGTTATCCATAGTACTTTACATTTCCAAAAGTATCTCTTAGGGGTCGGCCAAATAGCTCAGCGGATTAAAGAGCCTGCAAGCAGGGGCAGGGGCAGGGGCCTGCAGAGGTCGGAGGTTTGATCCCAGGGCCTGCCGTGCCGGCCCCCGTGCACTGACAGGCAATTGCACGGTGGCCCATGCCTGTAATCCCAGCTTTTGAGAGTCTGTAAACAGGTGGATCTCTGCAAGTCCGATCTAGTACTGAGACCCTGAACATCCTGTAAACCCTTGCCTAAAATACAAAAAAAAAAAAAAGTATCTCTTGAGAACTTGGTAGAAACCATTTACTTGGTTTCTCTTTAGTGGAGAAAACAGTAAATGTAAAATAGTTTTTG